GACGGTCGTTTGGTCAGCTGTTTGTAAACGTCGCGATAGCCAGATATACACAATCGAAGCTCTTTTTGGAATTTCAAACTTCTTTGAGAATTGTTATCTATTTTAAGAAAATGCTTTTCCAATTTGCTGCAAAGCTGGATCCCTGCATATATTTTATCCGCTGTAATAGATTCCGGTTCTTCTTGTCCGTCTTCATGATCTGTTAAGTTATTGATAATGTCACTATCATTGATCATTGATCACTGATAGCAAAAAAAGTGATGCCAACACAGTTCAGATTGACCTAAGCTCTCGGCGAAATTCAATGTGTCGATATTCATAAACGCAAAAAAAAAAAATCGCACAAAAAGAATCGCACAAAAAAAAGATTCGCACAAAAAGAATCGCACAAAAAAAAGCGCATAAAAAAAGACCGCACAAAAACAGGTTTGACTGTATGTACGTTTTGCTTACTTAAAAAGTCAAATCGGGAACTATTTGAATCTTCGGCTTTTTGTCTTAATACTATTGTCTATGAGTGGGAATCGCCAATGAATTTAGTTACATTTCTTTGGCGTCCAAGATGCGTCCAAGTGTTGTAAAGCCAAATGACAAAATCACGTTGTCACCGCCCTATGAGTCTAACAGAAGCCTTCTAGTGATAGATAAGAAAATTTCTTTTATTTAACACTGTGGCTGAACTTCTAATTGTTTTTGTTTAGTTTGCATCGTTCTTACCATTTATTTATTTTATTCAATTTAATTTGCAATATAATTTAGTTTATTTTTTTTTTCTTTTTTTTTTTAAATTTGCTGGGAAAAATAATTTTTGCAATTTTTTTCTTAATGACTTGAATGGCTTTAATTTGTAAATTCGGTCGCAATGATGAAATGAATTGCTTTCGTCTTATTTTAATTATGAATGAGTTCACTATGATTTCCTCTTAAGACCCCACACTAATAAGCATTTCGTGTGTGAAATAATGAAAATCCCCAACATAGTTAAAGTATCCCAATGAAATACTTTACTTTGTAAAAGGAAAAAAAAAATTGAAAAATTTGAAAATGAAAACAAAATTATGTCAACATTTAATTAAATTTTTCAATAAACAAACAATTGGCCGTTCGTTGCTCATTAAAGAAAACGAGTGAAATAAAAAAAGAAAATTATTTTATATATAGTCTTCAGTTTATAGACTGGTAACTGGTCCCATTTTGAGTTATGTGCATAGGGGCTGAGTAACTTACCTGCTAACATGAATTACCGTAAATCTTCCCGGAAACCTAAAAAAAGAGAAAACCAAAAAACGTTAATTAAAATAAGTAAACGATGCCTTAGTTTGGCTTAAGACGAAGTTTGGATTCTTTTCACTTAGCGCGAAGATTTTTATTTTTACTCCATAGCTGCAGACGTGCGTGCAATTGTAGAGAACAAATGTCGATCGCGCCATTAGCATTTACGATTGACGCTGGCACTTGTTCATAAACCCTTCATACTCTGAAACTATCACTAAGGATTTTTATCTTATGAGAATTCATTTTTCTATTTATTATGAAGGCTTCAGAACTTTATTTGTAGGAATTTATTGCGACACTTCAAATACAATACAGCAACAATTTTCGATGGAAGAATTTTTTTCATTACGAAAAAGTGCTTTAGCTTGTAGGTTAGATAGATTAGATGAAGCTGAAGTTGATTTGCACTCACTGAGCTTTTCTGTTATTATTTGGCTTTGAAATTTTAAACCTTCACTAATAAAAGTGCTGACAGAGAGTTACATATAACTCTGAATCTCACATTAGTTCAAGAACAGTTTTACTTCAAAAACTGCGCGACTTGTTCACCAACGAATCCCATGAAAGCATCTCTTACTTTTTTCATAAACTTGTGCGCATGTCGCACATTGGTAGGGATGGCAAACTAATTGCTCTTAGGCGCTTGTTCACTTTTACTTTAGCAACTCTGAAGGCTTAGTAAAATGTGAATGAGAATAAAATTTGCCCTCGCCTAAGGTCTAGAATTTTCATTGGCAAACATGAGAACGGGAAATAGTCTGACACTTCAAGCAGCTTCAAAGATTAAACATGAGTAAAAAAGCTATGTCTCTTCAGCAATAGAGTTCTTCCAATATATTCAAAAACAAGAGCATTTCTTCCTCAATACTGTGTAACGAAATGTAAGACAACCTAGGACTACTAAAGATTTTTCCAATATACAATGGTTTTTTATAATGTGACTGAGCCAGAGAGATATATATACAAACTGCAACTATTTTTTGAAGATAGTGCTTACGTTAAATGGCTTCTCACGTCAACAACTGTTGTTGATTCCCAATTTGCTTCCACAATTAATTCTCTGTGAAAATAGAAGCAGAAGAAGAGCGATCAAAAGGTTTGATTGCGATGACTTTTGATGACTACCACATAGCCGAGGAGAATTCTGTGTTCGCGGGTTCGAATCTCAGTAGAGTAGATCGTACATAGTATTAATTAAATGTATAGTTACTTCGCTTGTTAATCCTTTGAATCCAAAAAGAAAAAAATATTGTAAAAACAGTCTATGATTTACTTGGCACTTTGCTGCGGCTTCTGATCGATATTTCTCTGTGTAATGTCATAGTTAAAACTTTTTTTAATTCATCTGAATGTATGTTTGTAGTTAGAAGATGAACAAATAAATAAATAAATTGTTCTGGAGAAAGTTCTCAATTCTTTCCAAGGGTTACAATATCGAAATTAAATTAACGCCCTTAGGCCTTCGATTCTAAGAAAAAAAAGCGCCTCAATGCCAGAAATTAGTCAAAACAAAGTTTGAGATGCATTTCCATTTACCAAGCTCCGATGAGCTGACAACTCGAGAGATTTTCCTTTCAGTCACTCAAGGTATGTGTTCCATGCGTATAAGTAACGGCGACGATTAAAGGTGAGGAAGAGGGAAAGAGAAAGTGAAAGACTTTGGCATTTTCGGCTTGAAGGAGGAAACATCTGCAAGTCGACTACATATCGGCAAGTTGATCCAATGATGTTAAAGAAGCATCCTCTAGAAAAAGGTCAGAAAGTGTTACCAATTCATTTATAGTCTTAGACCACATGGTTTTGAGATGGCGAAAGGTCCAACTTTCTTAACAAACACTTACCTTAGGCGAGTGTTAATGACATCATATAATAGTATAGTGCACTAAATATATCATCAGATTATTACTATTATAACTATTGCTGTTGTTATTGTTGTTATAATCATTACCATCATTTATTTAGACCAAAGTAATACGCTCTAGGACTAAAAGTAGGATGGCCACTAGCAACAAAAACTTTTCTCTCTTCTTTCTCAGCTTTAACAGAGTCAAATGATTTATTGATACTCCGTTCTCCAGGTATTTGCGGGATGTCCTTAAGATTGGATGCTCCGGAAACTAATCTTCGAATATTAAAAAGATTTTGTCATTTAGTTGGCATATGCTGTAGCGTGAGGTGTTATCCACAATCGCAGCAAATGGAGGGAGTAGATTTCTTCAGGATCCATTGAAGTGTCGCAAGGATATGTTCACGTCGGAGTTTTTTAAGTGTTTTGATTTTCGAACGAACTGAGGATTAATACGGGACTAGTATTGATTTGTTTTGCCAGTTTCCTCTTTAATCTTTTTTCTAATACACTTTTGAAGATCAAACTTTTCCATAGGTGTGCGGACTCGGCTACTGAGTCTTTTTGCTCATTTCGCAGGAGACGACCATTGTGACTTGGTAAACAAAAAATGTTAACGTGCGTGGCAATGGTATTCCTCACGTTGTTAATGGTATTCCAGTTGAAGTATCAGAGGTTAAGAATAGCTTTTATGATCGAAAAACTACCGGTGATAATAACCGATTGAAGTTTAGCTGTACGAGCAAGTTTTATGGCATGAATTGTAGCTCTAGCTTCGATTGTTAATGTTGACGCATTTTCGTGTAGGATGTGATTAATTTGAACTTGATTTGCAGCATCTACTGCTCCATAGGCAGGGTGCGAGTCATCACACTCTGAGAACCGTCTGTAGAAGAGGATACCAATCATTATTTTCAAAAAAATTAGATTATTCTACAATGAATTTAGCAAAGGAAAATTGAATGATTAGGTAAATTGTTAGCTTCGAGCAGAAGAACCATTTCCCTTAGTATGGCCAGCATATTCAAAGCTTTTCAATACATTCGTTTCCATTTGTACACAAAATGAAAAGCAATCATAAAATGCTCACTTTCATGCGTAGTAGGTGTGAATACATCATCGATGATGTTGGTTAAACGCATTGCAGTAAATCAATTAAATTAAATGATGTAAAGAAAAAGAGAAGAAATTATTTTATAATAAACTTATTCTGGCTGATTTAGTTTGGTTCAGTTTTATTTCATAAACATTTTCGAAAACAAACGCAAAAAAAATAAATAAATAAAAAACAAAAATACCAAGAAAAGCAACAAATAATACGTGAATGAAAAAAAAGTTTCCTTGACAAACACACCAACAACAATAACAATAGCGACAACAAAGCAAATAACATCAATAGTAGCAAAAGTAAACTAATAAAGATGCAACAAAAAAAAAAAAAAAAAAAAAAAAAAACTGGATAAAGCGGTTACAGTAATACGCCAATTTACCAATTTCGGGGGGAAAATGTGAAAACGCTTGATGAACAAAACTCAGCTAAAAGCAAATAGCTCTGCACAGTTGCCGCGAAGACGTGTTAGTGTTAAGACTTTCTTGATTACATAAAAACGAGCAAACAAAAAAAAAAAAAAAAGGCAAAGAAACCAAATCAAAATCGAAAACGAAAGTATGAAAGGAATGAAAGATAAGAAGCGTCTAAGCTTGCATAAAAATTGATAATAAAAAAAAAAAAAAAAAAAAAAAAAGTAGACAAAGGATAACTAAAAGGAAAAGGATAATCAACGACATGTAATAAAAAAAAGGTTTTAAAGAAGAAGAATATCAGTAAAAATGATATAAAAATAAAAAGAAAGAAAAACGTATTTTCTTTTATAAAAAGTACGAAAAAAAAAAGTAACAAAATCTTTGCCGTGCATGCATATTAAACTATCTGCATATATGTAAACGTGTTCGCGTGTTCACGTAACTATTTACTATACAACTCCTTGCCTTGCCTTGCCTTGCCTTGCCTTTATTGAAAGTCATTATCAATAACTTTAACTCGATTGTTGTTACGCGGTGTTGTTGCTATTGTTATTGTTGTTATTGCGGATCTTAACAACATGTCAACAAGATTACGTTCATATCTGCTGGCTGAGCCAGTTCGTTTAGCTTTGCTATTATATGCTCTGCTGTGCTGTGCAATGGTAAGTAACACGAAATTTTATGTTAAATATTTCAATCTCTCTCTCTCGCTCTCTCGCTCTCTCTGTCTATGTATAATCAAAAGTATTCATAAAATACTTCTACTTATGCATTATACACGTAATAATGCATTCAAATGAAAGCGAAACTTTTGTTGCATTACAACGTAAACAGTCGAGAAGAAATTATTTGAACATTGTTGTATACTTGTTTCGTTGAGCTGAGTATTTTCGTCCGCATGTTGTATGTATGTTGGGAAAAACGTGTATGTGTTAATGTTTTTCATTTCGTTTTTTTTTCTTTTTTTTTTTTTGTTGTTCATCTTTTGACTCAAACAAGTCATCTCTTAGTCGCATTGTTGCTGCTTTTTTGTTAATTTTTCTTGAAATATCTACATACAATAGACAACCAACTGTCTATTTGCAGCCGGAAGTTCATTAAATTGTTCGCGGCAACGTTTCATTCATTCGTTCATTTTTTTTTGTTTTCTTGTTCTCTTTTTTTTTCTTTTCATCTTTTGCCATGTATACTTTTATCAATTAAAATAATCTAAATATTTTGTACATTGTCTGACAACAACAACAACAACAAAAAAAAGAGAAAAAAAACCGCTAAATGTTAATCAACATGATATGATGTATCGGTGTGAATGGCTCTCTTAATGAAACACTTTACCTTTAATGAAATAAGTGCAACAGCGGTAAACGATGGAGAAGGCAAAAAAAAAAAAAAAAGAAGGTGATGAAGATGACTTTCAAAATTTTTGCAAAAAGGCAAAAAAAAAAAAAGAAGCACAACATAACCATAACAGACAAACGTCTTTGTCTCATGTTGTTTTCCTACAACATGACAGCGCTAATTATGACTTTATTGGGAGAAAGTTGAAATTCCATATGAAAGCATTAATAATTTAATTTAATTCGTCCCGTTACGCTTCTTTTACAAGTTAACCTTGAAAAAGAGTTCAATTAGGTTAGAACTTAAATGTTTCGTGGTTGAGTGTTGTGATGAAAATGTCATTGCAAAATTGCGCTACGTTGCAAAGTTCCTTAATTTATTTGTCAATTTCGCAAAGCAACAATGATAAGAATGACTTTCTGGTTTTTATTCGTCTGCATTGTTTCTTGCAAAGCAATTTTTGTATTTTTTTCCCCCAGGTAAATATGCCGAAAATAATTTCATAAAAGTAAAGCAGTGGAAAATGATTCCCTTTTGTTATTTATCAGTTTAGAAACAGACCTGAGTGAAAAGTTATACTAAACTAACTATACGCCTTTCACTCGGCTAGGGCAGGAATCCTTTTTTTTTGAGTTGAGTCCATTGATTTAACTGAAGCTTTCTTCCCAAATCGCTAAAGTGAATTTTTATACCGTCCAGCTTTCGTTTCCATTGAACTTATGTTCAATTGGGCATTCGCGAAATGTTGTTGCCATACCGGCTTGGAAGCAATCTATTCAAGAAATGTATTCCGCTTTCCCAACACCTGATATCACATCACAACATATTTAGCATTTTGTTTATGACAAGATTTTAATGATGAACGCATTGTCCTTTCTTTCATGCTCTCGGAAATAAGAGAATTAAAGAAGTTTATATAACTTTATTATTCGAAATCCTTTCTAATCAGAGTTAAGTCAATATGAGTATCTATTTTGATTGCACCTTTGTCAAGCCCGTCAATCTTTAACAAGATAAAATCTCTTAGGTCGCAAACACACATCTAATTAAAATTGAGCAGTTGAGATGGCCAAGGCTCGAAGCCGTCAAAATTTATTATATTCTTCTCTCAATTGTCCTTATTGCGCGCTCGCTATCGTTTTGTGGAAACTCTGAATTTCCATTCCACTTACACTTTACCGTTTTACCTTTTTTTTTTTTTTTTTTTTTTATGTTACTTTCCTATTAATTATTACGATTCGCATTCCTCTTGCCTTTCAACATTTTTACATGGAATTGAAAAAACGCATTTTACGCTACTGGACACAATATACTTTGATTATCTGGATTCTAGAAAAACTATCAATAAATCTCAAAAAATTAATTGAAGCGGATGATGTAATCTAAACGTACAATATCTTACATCCTGGCGTTGGTAATTCATTAAAGTCACTTAACATTTACTAAGCATACCTTGTAAATACAACACGCGTAAGAAACATATCGCTACAAATTTTGTTCTGTGATTTGATTGACAGAGTCGCAGTCCATTCAAGTGCAGTTCGCTTCGCGATATATTTAGCAAAACTGTTTATACTCTACACCCCTTGTGATACTTGTAGTGTGTTAAGTAGTGCGGACGTATGTAACACGCAGAAGGGCTTAAGATAGGCTCACTTTTTATTATATCATTTTCTGAATCGATCTAAGCCTCTCTGTGCTTCGGTTCACAATTTTTGAGATATTTTGATGAAATTTGGTTTACCGACGTGTCTTGTTCCAAAGACGAACTTTATTGAATTTGTTTTGGCTCGCTCCACTTACCCGACCACTGTCCAACTAACGCACTATTTTGAAAAGTCATTATAAGCCCCCCGTAGATTTCGAAGTGGACCTATCTTCTAATCGCCTTAATAAAGAAGGACATTATCATGAATGGTATAAAGTATGCTAAGAAATTCGAAAATTGATAACTTGCTTCAGCTCTTTCCAATGTTAAGGAACACAGGTATATGAATGTTATGAAGCGCACGAAAAACATCGGAGAAAATTTCACCGAATTTCAATTACGACGAATAGAAAAGGTATCGTTAAAATCAACAAACAAACAAAAACTTGCGGATGAGTCTTAAGAGAGTGGATTAAAGCACTATGCAAATATTTTTCCTCATTCAAGCAATCACCTTATGTTTGGCCTCGAAACATTTCAATTTGTAGGCAAAAGCTTTGCCTTGATAGATAAAGAAACCCGATACTCGTCTAACCTAGACGTTACAGCTTAATTTGCCGCAGGTCATAACTCAATTAAGTCCTCCGAAATCCTATCGAGATCTGGGCCAAGTAGTATTTTATTTTTCACATACAAAATCCTGCGACATTATTGCTATCCAGCATGCCTTGGATAACAAAACAAAAAACTGCAAGATAGTTCACGTACCTGTATGGCGATAAGGTGAAGCATTTTCATTTTCAAAAAGGATCTTAAAGCACTTTATATATATATATATATACCTCTATAAAGGTCATTAATTCCGACATCGTTTCTCTTTAATAGATTTAAATGTATATTCAGCATAAGACTTACCCGCGAGAACGAACCCGAGTCTCGACCGTGTCTCTTACAATAATAAAATTAATTATACATCCAGCATAACGACTTACCCAGGAGAACAAACTAAAGTCCCTATCGTGACTCTTACAATAAAACAAGATATTAATCCTTATATGCATTTTCGCTTTATTGTACAAGTTTTCTTATAAAAAGTGACATTTGAGCACCAAGGTTACTTAGCTGAAAAAAACAGCAGTTTTTTTTTTTAAGTATGAGTAAGTAAGCATTAAAAAAGCAAGAACAATGTGTAATATAATTGCTGACGTTTTCAAGAAATAGTTGTCCAAAATACGTCAGCTCAAATCCCTTTAGTCGTGGAGTATTTATGTTGCGTGGCACCATTTCAAACATTTACGTAAATCCCAATCAAAGGCAACCTTTTATTCACAATAGCAACTCAATTCTAATTAAACAGCTTCTAATCTATTGGGGTAATTATTGAATAGAAAATTATATGGACCAAGTTTCTTGATGAACATTATCGTTATTATTAGTGCATCTTCATATGTATTCTAAGGCGTTACGAAGTGATCGAAGCATCTGCCGGACTGGAAGAAAGGTGAATAAATCAGTTGTAGTATATAGTAGTATATAGCTTAGTATAGATCTGAAATGTTAAATCTTAAAACTGATAAAAGTGCTTTGTTTTTTTATGTGTGTTTATTGGAAGAAACTCCTTAAAAAGCGAGGACGGCACATGGCTTGTAATAATCTATTTAGTCTATTTAGTTAAGTCACTTTTAAAATGCATGAACCTGCAGCCCGAGTAATAATCGTTTCTGGGTTCTAAACTATGTTCCTACGCCTATCAATATTTTTCTAAAAGGAAACCTTTTTTTCTTTTGCATAGGGTGTCTGCCGTACTCTGGACCAAATGGTTTCCTTCTCTCTTCTATCCGTAAAATTTGCTTTTCTCAATAACAATTATTACTTTTCTAATTTAAAAGTAAAGCTATGTGCTAGACAGTGACCCTCATATACGGGTAAGCCACATAGAAGCAGTTACACTAATTTAATTATTTCAGGCGTAGCAGCTTGGCAGAGACCTTTGAAGAAGCCATTAAGTATAGATGCATTTCCAGTCAGGATAAAATTGATCTGAAGACGTCTTCTTTATCTGGGCTGCTCCCCAAAAACTTCTCTGCTTACGCTTTTCAATTTCAAAAATCATCTTTGGCTATAAAGACCTAGCGGTTAAGAAAATTGTACCAATACGAAAATATTAGGTTAAACTAGAAAATCCAGAACTTTCGAAGGAAATCGATATTCATAGTTTGTGTGAAAACTTTTATATGCTCACTCATACATATCTACCCATTAGATTTTCTCAAGTCCCATACGCTTGTCCGGGTAATAAGACTTCTAATCGAAATCGTCTCGAAATTTCTTCTACCTATAAGCCAACGAGGAAAATTTCCGACTGAACGGCAATAAAAATTAAGTGTGGTTAAGAATCTTAAACCGAATGACGTTAGCTATCCTAAATTTTTTTTTTTTTTTTTTTTTGTTTTTTCAATTTTTTCACTTTTTATTTTCTGCATTGAAGTGAAACGCACCGCACATTCTTTAATGTCTGGTTTAAGGAGTTTTATCACCTTTTACGCTAAATTATATTAGATTACGTATATATATATGTATATGTGCGAGCACACGTACACACATACAATAACTTACGAGCACATTCAATGATGGAAGAGAAACACCAGCAAATGGCAGCATAGAGGAAAAACATAA